ACCACTGGATTGGCATAAGGCCAATGTGGTGCCAATATTTAAAAAGGGGTCAAAATCTTTTATTAAGTAATTATAGACCGGATAGTGTAACTTCTATAGTTGGGAAGATACTGGAGAGTTTATTAAAAGACCACATAGATGAGTTCTTGCTGGGAAAAAATATTTTAAGCAACAGACAGCATGGATTCATGAAAGACAGAAGTTGTCAAACAAATCTTATTTATTTTTATGAGGAGGTGAGCAAAAACCTTGGACAGAGGGGGGGCGGTGGACGTGTATACTTGGACAGAGGGGGTGGCGCGGTGGACTTGGTATACTTGGACAGAGGGGGTGGCGGTGGACGTGGTATACTTGGACAGAGGGTGGCGGTGGACTTGGTATACTTGGACAGAGGGGGTGGTGGTGGACGTGGTATACTTGGACAGAGAGGTGGAGGTGGACGTGGTATAATTGGACAGAGGGGTGGCGGTGGACGTGGTATAATTGGACAGAGGGTGATGGTGAACGTGGTATAATTGGACAGAGGGGTGGCGGTGGACGTGGTATACTTGGACAGAGGGTGGCTGTGGACGTGGTATACTTGGACAGAGAGGTGGCTGTGGATGTGGTATACTTGGACAGAGGGGGGTGGCGGTGGACGTGGTATACTTAGACAGAGGGGTGGAGGTGGACGTGGTATACTTGGATTATGCAAAAGCGTTTGACACAGTTCCCACACACGGCTAATGTGTAAGGTAAAGTCTACAGACTTGGAAAAATCCGTATGTAAATGGATAGAAAACTGGCTAAAAGATGGTATTCAGAAAGTAGTGGTTAATGATTCATACTCTGAATGGTCTAGGGTCATCAGTGGTGTACCCCAAGGGTCAGTGTTGGAACCCTTACTTTTTAATATATTTATAAACAATCTGGGATTATAAATCCCATTTCAGTCTTTGCAGATGACACCAAACTGTGCCGTGGAATAACGTCCTTACAGGATGTCTCCAATTTACAAGCCGACCTCAATGCTCTGTGTAATTGGGGGACTATGTGGGAAATGAGGTTTAATGTGGATAAATGTAAGGTTCTGCTCTTGGGGGCTAAGAATATGCATGCATCATACATACTAGGGGGGGTACAGCTGGGGGAATCAATGGTGGAGAAGGATCTGGGGGGGTCAATCGTGAAGGATCTGGGGGTTCTGGAAGATCACAAGCTTAATAATGGCAGCAATGCCAGCTGAGGTTTTTTAAAGCGAGCAAAATCCTCTCTTGTATTAAAAGAGATATAGACTCCAGAGAGAGAGATATCATTTCCCCCGGTACAAATCATTAGTAAGACCTCATCTGGAATATGCAGTTCAGTTTTGGGCTCCAATTCACAAAAAGAACATTGGGGAACTGGAGAAAGTACAGAGAAGGGCAACCAAACTGATAAGAGGCATGGAGGAGATCAGCTATAAGGAAAGATTAGAGGAACTGAATGTATTCTCTCTTGAGAAGAGGAGATTAAGGGGGATATGATCACCATGTATAATACATAAGGGGGGGATACGATCTCCATGTATAATACATAAGGGGGGATATGATCACCATGTATAATATATAAGGGGGATATGATCTCCATGTATAATACATAAGGGGGATATGATCTCCATGTATAATACATAAGGGGGATATGATCTCCATGTATAATACATAAGGGGGATATGATCTCCATGTATAATACATAAGGGGGATATGATCTCCATGTATAATACATAAGGGGGGATATGATTTCCATGTATAATACATAGGGGGGGATATGATCACCATGTATAATACATAAGGGGGATATGATCTCCATGTATAATACATAAGGGGGGATATGATCAACATGTATAATACATAAGGGGGGATATGATCTCCATGTATAATACATAAGGGGGGATATGATCTCCATGTATAATACATAAGGGGGATATGATCTCCATGTATAATACATAAGGGGGGATATGATCAACATGTATAATACATAAGGGGGATATGACCTCCATGTATAATACATAAGGGGGGATATGATCACCATGTATAATACATAAGGGGGGATATGATCTCCATGTATAATACATGAGGGGGGATATGATCTCTATGTATAATACATAAGGGGGATATGATCTCCATGTATAATACATAAGGGGGATAAGATCACCATGTATAATACATAAAGGGGGGATATGATCTCCATGTATAATACATGAGGGGGGATATGATCTCCATGTATAATACATAAGGGGGGGATATGATCACCATGTATAATACATAAGGGGGATATGATCTCCATGTATAATACATAAGGGGGGATATGATCTCCATGTATAATACATAAGGGGGGATATGATCTCCATGTATAATACATAACGGGGGGATATGATCTCCATGTATAATACATAAGGGGGGATATGATCTCCATGTATAATACATAACGGGGGATATGATCAACATGTATAATACATAAGGGGGATATGATCTCCATGTATAATACATAAGGGGGATATTTGATCTCCATGTATAATACATAACGGGGGGATATGATCAACATGTATAATACATAAGGGGGGATATGATCTCCATGTATAATACATAACGGGGGATATGATCTCCATGTATAATACATAAGGGGGGATATGATCTCCATGTATAATACATAAGGGGGATATGATCTCCATGTATAATACATAAGGGGGGGATATGATCTCCATGTATAATACATAAGGGGGGATATGATCTCCATGTATAATACATAAGGGGGGATATGATCTCCATGTATAATACATAAGGGGGGATATGATCTCCATGTATAATACATAAGGGGGGATATGATCACCATGTATAATACATAAGGGGGGATATGATCTCCATGTATAATACATAAGGGGGATATGATCACCATGTATAATACATAAGGGGGGATATGATCACCATGTATAATACATAAGGGGGGATATGATCAACATGTATAATACATAAGGGGGGATATGATCACCATGTATAATACATAGGGGGGATATGATCTCCATGTATAATACATAAGGGGGTATATGATCTCCATGTATAATACATAAGGGGGGATATGATCTCCATGTATAATACATAAGGGGGGATATGATCTCCATGTATAATACATAAGGGGGGATATGATCTCCATGTATAATACATAAGGGGGGATATGATCACCATGTATAATACATAAGGGGGGATATGATCACCATGTATAATACATAAAGGGGGATATGATCTCCATGTATAATACATAAGGGGGATATGATCTCCATGTATAATACATAAGGGGGGATATGATCACCATGTATAATACATAAAGGGGGGATATGATCTCCATGTATAATACATAAGGGGGATATGATCTCCATGTATAATACATAAGGGGGGATATGATCTCCATGTATAATACATAAGGGGGATATGATCTCCATGTATAAATACATAAGGGGACATAACGGGGGGGATATGATCAACATGTATAATACATAAGGGGGGGGGGATATGATCTCCATGTATAATACATAACGGGGGGGATATGATCTCCATGTATAATACATAAGGGGGATATGATCTCCATGTATAATACATAAAGGGGGGATATGATCACCATGTATAAATACATAAGGGGGGATATGATCTCCATGTATAATACATAAGGGGGGATATGATCAACCATGTATAATAATATAGGGGGGGATATGATCTCCATGTATAATACATAAGGGGGGATATGATCTCCATGTATAATACATAAGGGGGGATATGATCTCCATGTATAATACATAAGGGGGGGGGGATATGATCTCCATGTATAATACATAAGGGGGGATATGATCTCCATGTATAATACATAAGGGGGGATATGACCTCCATGTATAATACGTAAGGGGGATATGACCTCCATGTATAATACGGGGGGGGATATGATTTCCATGTATAATACATAAGGGGGATATGATCACCATGTATAATACATAAGGGGGGATATGATCACCATGTATAATACATAAGGGGGATATGATCTCCATGTATAATACATAAGGGGGGATATGATCTCCATGTATAATACATAAGGGGGGATATGATCTCCATGTATAATACATAAGGGGGATATGATCTCCATGTATAATACATAAGGGGGGATATGATCTCCATGTATAATACATAAGGGGGTATATGATCTCCATGTATAATACACATAAGGGGGGATATGATCTCCATGTATAATACATAAGGGGGGATATGATCTCCATGTATAATACATAAGGGGGGATATGATCTCCATGTATAAATACATCAGTGGTTCATATAGTGAACTCGGTGTAGAGCTATTCACCCTGAGGTCATCACAGAGGACAAGGGGGCACTCTTTACGTCTGGAGGAAAAGAAATTTAATCTCCAAACACGGAAAGGATTCTTCACAGTGAGATCTGTGAAAATGTGGGAATAGACTCCCTCAAGAGTTGGTTCTGGCCAGCTCAGTGGATTGCTGTAGGAAGTCCTGGATTCTTTCTTGGATACACAGAATATAACTGGACATAACATTTATAGGTAAAGTTTATCCAGGGAATATCTGATTGGGGGATCAGGAAGGAATTATTTCCCCTGCAGGAGCAAATTGGATCATACTTTGATGGGTTTTTTTTGCCTTCCTCTGGATCAACTGTGGGTTTAGGATTATAACTTTTTTTTTTTTTTTAAGTGGTTGAACTGGATGGACTTTTGTCTTTTTTCAGCCAGAATAACTATGTAACTATGTGAAGCAGATCTTCAGAGCAAGCAGCTCCTGCTATTGTCTTGCGATCTGTAGATGTTGTCACCAGGGTTTGACAAGAGCCTCCTGACCACCCATGTATAGCATTGGGAGCATATCTTTTTTACCATTCTTCAGGTCATTTATGGAACCTATTGTGATCTTTACTCAATAGAGGAAAAAAAAATGGATCCATTGGATTCATAATGGCTTTGACTCTTACTTGTTGTAAAGGACGATGTCCGGAATCCATATCATCTCTGAAGGAACACGGATGGATGTGACATTATCATAATCCGCTGGGTTCCATCGAAGCTTGTAGTCATTCCATTCCTAAAAAAACAGTACAAGTACGGTTAATGGCGTTTGAAACCTGCCTTTACCTTTTTTTCTTTTTTCTTTTAGAAAAATATACGCCAATCAGCCATAAGTTTGTGATCATTGACAGGTTAATGTCATTGACAGGATCATTGACAGGTTAATGTCATTGACATTGATTATCTTGTTACAATGGCATCTGAATGTGGGTGGGAAATATTAGGCAGCAAGTGAACATGTTGTCCTGAAGTTGATGTGTTGAAAGCAGAAAAAAAAATGGGTGTCATAGTTTGTTGGGTATGGGGCTGCATAGGCACAGACTGGTCAGGGTGTCCGTGCTGACCCGTGTCCACAGCCTGATGTGTCTACAAGGCACGTGAGCATCAGAACTGGACCACGGAGCAATGGAAGAAGGTGACCTGGTCTAATGAATCACATTTTCTTTTACATCATGTGGATGGCCGGGTGCTTGTGCATCATTTACCTGGGGAATAGATGGCACCAGAATGCAGTATGGGAAGTCGGCAGAGGCAGTGTGATACTTTGGGCAATGTTCTGTTAGGAAACCTTGGGTCCTGTCATTCATATGGATGGAACTTCACATGTACCACCACCCAGGGCAGACTGATCATTTGGAAACTCGGGCACTGCCCGTGGGTCGGGGTCAGTAGGGGGCGCCATGAGATGCCCCTGGTACCTTTTTCATAGGCTTTTTTGAGTTTGGGCAAGGACACAGGGCCCCATGATCCCCTATTGCCTGGGGGCCCTATGAGTTTTCAGTCCACCCCTGCCACCACCTGTACCTAAACATTGTTGGGGACCAAGCACACCCCTTCATGGAAACGATATTCCCTGATGTCAGTGGTCTTTTTAAGGAGGATAATGCACCCGGCCCCTGCCACACGGCAAAAATGATTCAAGAATGATTTGAGGAACACAATGAATTTGAGGTGTTGACATGTCCTCCAAATTCTCCAGATCTCAATCCAATCAAGCATTTGTGGGATATGCTGGAAAAATAAGTCTGATCCATGGAGGCCCCACCCCACAACTAAGGGTCCCGTTTTGCAATCCCCTTGCTCAGCGGGGGATCTCTCCACTGATCCCCACTGAGCAAGCGGATGACAGGTGCAGCAGAGCGGCTCACTGTCCTCAATGGGGTGGTTAGATGGAAACAGGAAAAAGGAGGAACATGGGAAGAAAAAAAAAATGATAAAACAGATCAAATTTCAGTTTTAAACATTTATGGAAAGAAAGAGGATGAAATGCCACACTCCAAAGGAACAGCCCAGGTGTAGAGAAGAGTAAATGCGGCTTCAGCCTAAATCCTCCCTGGCTATGACGCGTTTGGCCCTCCTCCCACATGAATTCGTTATAGAAGCACTATGACTGCGCTCTGTGGGTGGGACGAAACACGTTGGGTCATGGCCTGGGAGGAGTCGGGCTGAAGCCCCTTTTACTCTTCTCTTCACCTACACTGTTCCTCTTTCTTTCCACATGTGTGAACAGAGCTGGGACGGCTCTCTTAGCATCAGCAACTAATGGCAATGTGGGTTACTGTAGTATTATAGGATGACTGCTTTGGTTTTTAAAACATTTATCACACAAATTGTTAACTCTTCCAGCACAGACTGCTGGAGCATGCTGAACAGCAAGAGGCAGAAGTAGTAACAAGCTGTGCTCAGGCACACTCACCAAGGAGGAAACATTTATCCTGCAGATCTCACTAAAATGTTTAATTACCATACCCCTGCAAGTATTCCCGGGCCTCTTGGCTCCTTTTACCCCTCTCGCCATAAACTGTCTCATTAAAACAAATGCCCATGGATCAAATTCAACCCTGTGCTCAGAGCTAGAGACCATTGCAGAAGATGGAACTGTAAACGTAATTTCAGGAGACACTAATTAAAAGTTGTTGTGGCAGAATTTCCCGCTCACGATCACCCACCCACAGATGTGCGAAGAATCCCATTTCACAGGCTCGTGTGACTCATAGACAACACAAGAACCGTCTGCAGCAAATTGAATTTGCAGTGTAAAAAAAATAGAATGCTTCAAAATGCAACACAACAACACAATTTCTGCTCTTGTTCTGACTTTACTCTTTATATCCAGCAAACAAGCTGACCTGGAGATCAAAGAGAATTTCAGGCAGAATGAAAATGGGAAGAAAAAATGTTTTAGTGGTGATGTTGTATAAATGTTTTTTTATTTTCTAACGTTAGGTATATATATATATATATATATATATATACACACATACATACATACATACACACATATATATATGTGTGTGTATGTATGTATGTGTGTATATATATATATATATATATATATATATATATATATATACAGTGGGGCAAAAAAGTATTTAGTCAGTCACCAATTGTGCAAGTTCTCCCACTTAAAAAGATGAGAGAGGCCTTTAATTGGCATCATAGGTAAACCTCAACTATGAGAGACAAAATGAGAAAAAAAAATCCAGACAATCACATTGGCTGATTTGGAAATAATTTATTTGCAAATTATAGTGGAAAATAAGTATTTGGTCACCTACAAACAAGCAAGATTTCTGGCTCTCACAGACCTGTACCTTCTTCTTTAAGAGGCTCCTCTGTCCTGCACTCATTACCTGTATCAATGGCACCTGTTTGAACTTGTTATCAGTATAAAAGACATCTGTCCACAACCTCAAACAGTCACACTCCAAACTCCACTATGGTGAAGACCAAAGAGCTGTCGAAGGACACCAGAAACAAAATTGTAGACCTGCACCAGGCTGGGAAAACTGAATCTGCAATAGGCAAGCAGCTTGTGTGAACAAATCAACTGTGGGAGCAATAATTAGAAAATGGAAGACATACAAGACCACTGATAATCTCCCTCGATCTGGGGCTCCACGCAAGATCTCACCCCGTGGGGTCAAAATGATCACAAGAACGGTGAGCAAACATCCCAGGACCACACGGGGGGACCTAGTGAATGACCTGCAGAGAGCTGGGACCAACGTAACAAAGGCTACCATCAGTAACACACTACGCCGCCAGGGACTCAGTTCCTGCATTGCCAGACGTGTCCCCCTGCTTAAGCCAGTACATGTCCAGGCCCGTCTGAAGTTTGCTAGAGAGCATTTGGATGATCCAGAAGAGGATTGGGAGCATGTCATACGGTCAGATGAAACCAATATAGAACTGTTTGGTAGAAACACAACTCGTCGTGTTTGGAGGAGAGAGAATGCTGAGTTGCATCCAAAGAACACCATACCTACTGTGAAGCATGGGGGGGGTGGCAACATCATGCTTTGGGGCTGTTTCTCCGCAAAGGGACCAGGACGACTGATCCATGTACAGGACAGAATGAATGGGGCCATGTATCGTGAGATTTTGAGTGCAAACCTCCTTCCATCAGCAAGGGCATTGAAGATGAAACGTGGCTGGGTCTTCCAACATGACAATGATCCCAAACATACCGCCCGGGCAACGAAGGAGTGGCTTCATAAGAAGCATTTCAAGGTCCTGGAATGGCCTAGCCAGTCTCCAGATCTCAACCCCATAGAAAACCTTTGGAGGGAGTTGAAAGTCCGTGTTGCCCAGCGACAGCCCCAAAACATCACTGCTCTAGAGGAGATCTGCATGGAGGAATGGGCCAACATACCAGCAACAGTGTGTGCCAACCTTGTGAAGACTTACAGGAAACGTGTGACCTCTGTCATTGCCAACAAAGGATATATAACAAAGTATTGAGATGAACTTTTCATATTGACCAAATACTTATTTTCCACCATAATTTGCAAATAAATTCTTTCCAAATCAGCCAATGTGATTGTCTGGATTTTTTTTCTCATTTTGTCTCTCATAGTTGAGGTCTACCTATGATGTCAATTACAGGCCTCTCTCATCTTTTTAAGTGTGGAGAACTTGCACAATTGGTGGCTGACTAAATACTTTTTTGCCCCACTGTATATGTGTGTGTGTGTGTATGTATATATATATATATATATACACACATACACACATGCATATATTTTATAAATATACATACATATATATATATATATATATATATATATATATATATATATATATATATATATATATATATATATATAATTAATCCCATTTCATGTTTATAAAAAATAAAGGAATGGTTAAGTATCATAATGAAAGAGCAACTGTGATGTAAGTTTTAGATATTACATGATATTGTACCATTCAGAAAATGCAAAAATTAACATATCTATAAAAGAGTTTTAAAAATGAATCACTAAGATCATTAAATATATATTAAACCAGCCATTTCCTGTACCCTGCCCATATGGACCAGAGTAATGTTTACAGTTTTGCTATGTGCAATACTGAAGATTAAAAAGCAATAACAATTTTTTTTGTAGTACAAACAAGGCTTTTCTTTTAGTGATATTAAACAAACAAAAAAAAAAAAAAAAACGAAAACACTTTTTTTCTACTTTAAAAATAAAAATTTGTTACTGTAGATAAATAATACATGTTTTGTTCTATAATTTGACTTCTTTAAAACAACACTGAAATTCTGATTACGGTAGAAAGCATTGTAAAGTTATTTACAGAATAAATGAAAGGCTATTTTATAGATTTATATATTTTTATATACAGTATATATCATGTATATTTTATATAATTTTTGTGCTGCTAACATACTGAACAAAATGGATGAAAATTTAAAAAAAAAAGTTTAAATATTAACGGTTAGAAAAAAAAATTAAAAATTCACCAAATAATCATGAAAATGATAGTTCGGGGGAGAAGGAGAAGTAGGAGTTTATTAGGGCTGATTAGAGTGATCCAAGGGTTAATGGGTTAATGTAACAGCAGATCTCCCTTGATATGATGTCTCCTCTCCACCCCCCTTTTTTTTTTTCTAAGAAACGTCTGGCACAAATTAATGCAGCTGAATAATAATAATAATATAAATATTCTAATATCAATTTAATAAACATATTATAAAGAATATAGTAATAAATAATATTAATAATTAATGT